TTTAGAACTTGTGATCAGGAAGGGCCTCTTAGGACAAATAACGTGTTTGGACTTTATCTGTAGATGACAGGAAACCAGGGGAGGTTTCTAAGCAGGAGAGTGGCAGGTCTGTCTGCAGTGTGGAGAATGGATGAGGGTGCGGTGGAGACTGGACACCAGGAGACCCGTGAGGAGGCTGGTGCAATGGCCCAGGCTAAAGACAGTGGCTTGAATTGGGACAGTGATGATTGGGAGGGGTAAGGGTGGGAGAGATAGGGCCGGGTGGGAGCTGTAGAGACACAACAGAAGGGGAGTCCAGACAGAGGGAACAGCGTGAATAAAAGCATAGAGTCAGGGAAGGGGGGAGATTTTAGAACTTGTGATCAGGAAGGGCCTCTTAGGACAAATGACGTGTTTGGACTTTATCTGTAGATGACAGGAAACCAGGGGAGGTTTCTAAGCAGGAGAGTGGCAGGTCTGTCTGCAGTGTGGAGAATGGATGAGGGTGCGGTGGAGACTGGACACCAGGAGACCCGTGAGGAGGCTGGTGCAATGGCCCAGGCTAAAGACAGTGGCTTGAATTGGGACAGTGATGATTGGGATGGGTAAGGGTGGGAGAGATATCTCAATGTAAAACCTGTAAGACTTGGCAATGGCCTGGTTTTAGGAGACCAGGGAGAGGGATAAGTTACGGCTTGGCAATTTTCAAGTGTGGATGACTGAATGAAGGTGGTGACACTCGCCGAGGCCAGGGACACAGGAGGAGGGACAGGATTTGGGGGGCAGGGTGGTGGAAAAAGACTGGCGGGCAGTGAGGGCTTCTTGGTACCACGGACAGCTCCGAGGATCTCTAGAGGACTTGAAATAGAACCCATTGTGGCTGCCTTAGAATCCAACAGAGGAGCTAATTTAACATGCAGACCCCTAGGCCCACCAGATGCACTGCGTCGAGTCTCGGGGGGTGGTGTTCTGGAGCCTGCATTCTAAACAAGCACCTCGGGTTATTGGGTACAGGAGGTCATGTGACTGTACTTAGAGAAACACTGAAATAAAGCCGTGGTGGCTTAGAGACCGAGGAAAGCAAGGGTCTCAGTGTCCCAGGTGAGAGATGGGTTCAGTGTGGCTCTTCCCTACACCAGTCTCTCTTCTTTATAAAACCCTTTGTGGTCAACCGGCTCCTGCGTATTGTACTGGAATAAGAAGGCATGGTTGCTGGTAGGTGAGTTTAAAGTCTTACTCTATGCATTCAGAGAAATATTTTTGTATGCTTTGTGTAGTTTATAAGAAGGATTTTTTTTTAGCTTTGTTAACTGTAAATTCACTTCTCTTCCTCCATTGCATATTTTAAGCTTGTGTTCACTGTGTGCACACCGAGCATTTTTTTTTGCTGTGCGTTGTTGACTGTTCAAATGTAACAAGTATTATTAAAATTAAGTATTAACTGATAAAATAAAATTAAAAAGACATCATGGGGGCCGGCCCGGTGGCGCACTGGATAGTGCGCCGCTTGGGAAGCGCGGCGGCAGCGCTCCCGCCCGAGGGTTCGGATCCCACATACAGACCGGTTCCCGCTCACTGGCTGAGCGAGGTGCGGGAGCAACGCCGAGGGTTGCAATCCCGTTGCCGGTCCCCGGTCCGGTACGGGGGCAACACTGAGGGTTGCGATCCGTTGCCGGACACGGAAAAAGACAAAAGACAAAAAAAAAAAGAAAAAGACATCATGGGCTACAAGGTAAGCAATAAGAGCGCCATCTGCTGCCAATAAGGAGGCTTGGACCTCTCGAGTTTAGGACTTGTACATTTCAAGGCAGTTTATTCACTATGCGAAACCCCCGGGGCCAAAGCAAAGAAACCAGAAACCTGGAGCGATGAGAGAGGTAGAGGGGCCACCTTCCTTGATAACTTCTGTATTCCTTTCACTCTACAGCGCAGCATGGCAAAGTTCACCTGTCTGCAGTCATGATCACTGTCATCTGTGGTGCTGTTATACCCCATTCCCTAAAAGACCAAGTGTGGCTCCCTCAGGTTGGAGGGAAGATCCCTCTCCTTGAATTGGCTTTAAAAATTTATGGGAACGCACAACGCAAAGAAATGATGAATGTTTGAGGTGATAAATACACTAATTACCCTGATTTGATCATTGCACATTGTACACATGCATCCAAATATCACAATGTACCCCATAAATATATACAATAATTATGTTTCAATTAAAAAATAAATTTAATAAAATGAAAAACAAAACAAAACAAAATTTACATGAACCCAAAATAATTGCATGCACAGGATCAAACAGATATTTGTACAATAATGTAATAGTAACGTTATTCACAATAGCCAAAAGGTGGCAGCAACCCAAATGTCCATTGACAGATGAGTGGATAAAAACAATATGGTATATACACACAATGGAATATTAATCAGCCTTAAAAGGAGTGAAATTCTTTTTTTAAATTTATTTTTTTTCATTATACATGTTTATGGGGTACAGTTCGTTGTTTCGATACATGCATATATTGTATAATGATTTAATCAGAATAGCAAGCATATCTATCACCTAAACATTTATCACTTTTGAGGGGTTGTAACATTCAAGATCCTCTTTCCTGGCTATCTTGAAATACACAGTACAATATTATCATCTATTGTCACCCTAGGGCACCAGAACTCATTCGTCCTACCTGACTGTAACTTTGTTAACTTGGCACTAGTCTACCAACCTTCCCCTGCCCACCCCCCTTCCCCGTCTTTGGTAACCACTACTCTACTCTCCATTTCTCTCTCTTTTTTTTTTTTTCCTTTTTGTCTTTTTTCGTGACCGGCAACGGATCGCAACCTTCAGTGTCGCGCCCGTACCGGACCGGGACCAGCAACGGGATCGCAACCCTCGGTGTTGCTCCCACACCTCGCTCAGCCAGTGAGCGGCCGGTCTGTATGTGGGATCCGAACCCTCGGCGGGAGCACGGCACTCCCCAAGCGGCGTACTGTAGCAGTGCGCCACCGGGCCGGCCCTCCATTTCTCTTTTTTACCCTCTTTCAATAAAGTATAATTTTCTCCTAAAGGTCATGCACATTTCTCTCTTTTAAATTTATTTTTCTTAATGGCCCACGATAATGATATATATTTGGATACATTCATACTGTGTGCAATGATGACATCAGGGTGCTTAGTATGTCCATCACCTCAAACATTTGTCCCTTCTTTGTGTAAGGAACATTCCATATCATCTTGATTAGCTATTCAAAGACCCACAGTACTCTGTCAACTGTAGTCTCCCTATATTACTGTAGAACTAGATCCCATTCTTCCTATCTCCCTACTACTTTGTATTCACTGACCACCCTCTCCCCACTCCTCCCTCCCCCTTCCCCCCACCAGTCTACAGTAAACACTATTCTACTCTCTACTTCTATGAGATCAAAATTTTTGGCTTCTACATATGAGTGAGAACATGTGGTATTTCTCTTTCTGTGCCTGGCTTATTTCACTTAACATAATTTTAAAAGGAGTGAAATTCTGATACATTCTGTAAGAGCAAACAGTCATGGATAATGAGCCTCAGAAGGGCCGTTTTGTAGAATACAGCTTTAAACAGAATGTTAGCCATAAAGAAGTCTTTTTGTAACTTTGGGTCACAGCAGAGCTCTGAAGAAAACACTGCAAAACTTAGTGACTGGGAAAAGCAACATAATAAGTGCTCATCAGTGACTTAAAGAACTAACCCTTCTTCCTTTAGAGTCACAGATGCCTGGGAACAAGAGGACATCCACCTCGTGGGAGCCAGATAACACCCACATCCCAGTGATGAGCTGCAAGAATTACAGAACTGACCATAAGACGACAAAAGCCCGAGTCTGCAGGATGGCACGCAGCAGCCTCACCCTTTTGTTTCTCACACTTTTCCCTTTAAAGCCCTTGCTGAGGCTCCTGAGCCTCTGAGACAGTTTTAGTCTGACTGTCTCCTCAGACGTTCGCTAATAAAGCTTCCTACCTCACACCAACGTTTGGGACCGATGGGTCTTATTTTTGAGCAGAGAGCAGCTGAACTTTGCGCGCTGGTAACAATGCTACGTGGATGAACCTTGCAGACATTATGCCAAGTGAAATCAGCTAGACACGAAAGGACAATTACTGTATGATTCCACCTCTATGAGCCACTTAGAGCACTTAAATCCATAGAGACAGGACGTAGATGGTGGTTACCAGGGATTAGGGCAGAGGGGAATGGGGAGCTATTGTTTAATGGGCACAAAGTTTCAGTTTGGGAAGACGAAAAAGTTCTGGAGACGGATGGTGGTGATGGGTACACAATGATGTGAATGCACTTCATGTCACTGAACTGTACACTACAAATGGTTACCACAATAAACAGAAATGACATAATCAAATAGAGCAGTCGTTCATATCCTCCTCCTGACTGGGAGTCTGTAGGGCTCCTCCATGGCTTTCCCATCCCACCGGGAACTCCTGGGAACAGGGGAAGCTGCCCCCACCCCCAGTCTGGGGGCTCTCACAGGACCAGGGAAGCTTTGCTTCCACAGGAACACGCGCTGCTCCTCTAAGGCCTGGACGTGTCGCATCCGTCATCAGACTGAGGAGGTTCCCGTGGTTGGCTGCCGTGGGTGCCCCTTCCATCAGACTGGCAGTTACCCCAGTGAGTGTGTATCGGGGAGTCGGGGAAACTGAGCCTCTCGTTTGAGATAGATGTGTCTCCTCCCCAGCCTCCCGGCTCAGGATCCCCCATGTGCTCAACACTTTCCACCCTCGATCTGGCCACCGGCCTCTGCCCTCCAAGGTCAGCGCTCACAAACCAGGAGGACCGTCCGGGTGGGCGGGCCCGGCGGCTGTTTGCCCTCTTCCAAGATGGCCGCCGCCGCCTCTGTGACAGGCCTGGTCACGTGGACGCCCTGGCCTATGAGGTCTCTGGGGCTTGGTCCGCGATTGTCCCTTCCCGGGCCCCGTCCCGAGGCGGTGGCTGCCCCTGTCAACCCGAGCCTGAGCGATCATGGCAACGGACCTCCCTGGACGCCCTGAAGATCAGCATCCGCCAGCTCAAGTGGAAGGAGGTGAGGCCCGGCCCGGCCGCGTGGGCACAGGGGGGTGGACAGGACGAGCTCCCGCGGGGCGCCACGCCCGAGCCTGCTTGTCAGCCGCAAACTGCTCATCCTGCGAGGCCTAGCCCCAAAGTCACTTCCTCCAAGAAGGCTTCCCAGACCCCTCCAGGCCAAGTTAGCCACACGCAGTCTCCAGCCATCAGCACTCGCCTCCTCTGTATTGTAGCTGTTTGTTTCTATGTCTGTCTCTTCCACCAGCTGTGAATACCTAGGGCCTGGGACCCTCTCTCTCTCACTTCTTCACTGAAGTTATTATACTCGTATGTGTTTAGCACTGATTGTGCGACTCTGGGGCAGTGTGACAGTTTGGACTTTGGAGGCAGACAGACCTAGGGTCTCATTACACCTGCTACTTAGCTGTGTGATCTTGAGCGAGTTGCTTCACCTCTTAGCCTTTTACCTCTGTAAAGTGAGGCCGATAATACCTCTCATTGTTTTGTTAGTGTTAGAAGACTTGCTGCTTGTTGTTGTGTAGCACTAATGTGCAGAACATGGTAACTTATGTTACCCCCCTCTCCTCTCTGTCTTCCTCAATCACCATATGATCACCATCACCATCACCATCACCATTGTCACCATCAATGCAGGCACTGTGGTTTATGTTTCGGGGCTTGGCATATAGCAGGTGCCAGTAAGCAGTGGATGAAAGGGTGAATAAGGAGATGAGTTATTGATTTCTGAATCCATTTTAGTCCTGATGGGGGCTTGGATGGAGCACCAGTGACTTCCAGAGGTGTCTGTTGCAGTTGACTGAGTGGATAAAGGCTTTTGACTTTATTCGCTGCATATCTGGCTATTTATTGTGTTTTCAGGAATGTCACGATTTCAATTTAGGGTAGCTGAGTATGAAGACTTACCCAGAAGTTCTGCTGATGGTAACAGGGATCTGCAGCAGGCAACATGAGGACTCAGGTACTTAACCCTGTGCTTGGCTATAGTAGATATTTAGTAATAGTTTTGTGAAGTTGGAACATGCAGAGAGATGGCCACAGAAAGGATTGATGTGGTCAGAGGGTTGATGTCCCAGTAGGAAAGAGTCATTTGGTTTGGAGGGAAGTCAAGAATCAGGCAGGGCAGAATTCCAGGTGAGTAGTCATTGAGGAAGACTGACTCCATGTGTCAGGACCCCCAGCGTTGGGGCTCGGGATTCAGGGGACGATTTTCATGCCTGAGAAAACTGGGGAAAGTAAGGACAGACTCCCAGTTCTACAGTGTCTGGGTTTCTAGACTGGTTCCTAAGTTCAGACCAAAGATATGAGGGCCAACAAGGTAAACTGGAGAACTCGTCAGTGCCATGGTCCTAATGAAGAGAGAATCCTGGGACTGAAACCAGGCTATGGAGTCAGGTGAGGCAGGTTGGCTCAAGCAGGGCCCGTGCTTACTTAGCTCTGTGGGAGAGAGAGCATGAAGCAGCTAGATCTTGTTAAGAGAGAGGGGGCCAGATGGACTCATACATCCCAGCCCAAGGCCATTCACTCATTCTGTAAATGTCCACTGTGGAGTTGCCAAGTTCTGTGCCGGGCCCCGGGAATCAAACAAGCTTAAGATGTAACCCTTGCCCTCAAGGACCTTATAGTTCAGCAGGGAATAAAACACAAGTAAAGAAGCAATTGCAGTAATTTCAGAGCATTGCTGCCACTTTATGAAATGCTCTTTTCCTAGTTATCTGCACAGCTTAATCTGTCACTTCTTCAAATCTCTGATCAAATGCCACCTCCTCAGAGAGGCCCTCCCTGATGATCCCCGACCCGTCTCCAGCCGTTGCTCTTTTTTCATAACGCTAAACTCTGCCTGTATTATATTATGCATTGTTTGTTTATTGTCTGTTTTTTTTCCCTCACTAGAATGTAAGCTCCATGAGGGCAGGGGCTTTGTTTTGTTTACTGCTGTATCAGCAGATGCTTGGCATGTAGAAGTTGCTCAATAAATAGTCATTGAATGGATGAATATATTATGTGATGAGTGTTTCTCTCTCTCTATGAAGGTATATATGTGGGAGGTAGAGGAGGGGCACCTCAGGAAGGGCTTCCTGGAGGAGATAAACCCGAGCTGAGTCCTGAGTGCTGAAAAAGAGCCGGCATTATTTAGGGGCTGTGGACTTTGGGTCCCTGGTAGAGGGAGTGGTACGGGCAAAGCAGAGGTACATTCAGGGCCTTGCATATGATTCAGTGTGGCTGGATCATAGAGTGGGAGGCAGAGTGGTGAGAGATGAGGCTGCAGAAGTGAGCAGGGGTCAGATCATGTGCCATGCTATGGGATTTGGACTTTTTTTGGAAGGAAGTATATGTGAGCCATTTCAGAATTTTAAGGTTCTTCCATTTATCAGCTGGGCTATTTTGGGCAATGAGTAAATTCATTGGGCTCAGCCTGCTTGTCTATACAACTGGGGTGGGTAGAGCTAGTTCAGAGGTTTCCAGTCTCTCTACTGCTGCAGCCACATAATGGTGATGTTTATCTACATGAGACCCTTGCATTGGCCTACCCAGTGGGGTGGGAAATTTCCAGTCACTACCTGTAACCGCTCCCTTCACTCCCACTCAGGAAGCATATTGGCACATAGGTGGAGATGCGACTTCTAGTATATTTTAAAACATCATTTACTCACAACAGTAAGACTTTACTATTAGATGTGTGATTATTTACTTAACGTCACTCTTCCACATTAGTCTGTGAGGTTCTGAGGGCAGAGACGGTGTCTGACTTGTGTCTCTAATGCACAGCACACTATAGGTATTCAATAAATATTCATCAAATGCATGATGGAATACTTGCAACGGAGCTCACTTCTCATTTTGACACCTAGAATATAGAGTTTGAAGAGTTTCAAAGTAAATAAACTTTAAAGTTCCTTCTAGCTTTAAACTATGAGTATGGTATTCTTAATACCCACTACAAAGTTGACTGCATGACATATAACATATGTGTAGACCTGGTACTGACACAGTGCAAACAACTGACCTCTCTAGGCCTCAGTTTCCCCAACTTTTAAGGGGGTGATTTTGGACAAGATCATCTCTAACTCCCAGCACTGACGTTCTAGCAGCAGGAACTTCTGCCAGGGGCTGGGGTGCAAGGGGTTGAGCAACAGTGTGCCCTGCATGTTATGCTGTTGGTGCTGCAAGATTGGGGGGTACCTGGATGGCTGCTGGCTTTGGCAGGGGTGGGTGGGCAGCTTGGGTAAGAGACAAAGTCATGAACACCAACCAGAGTGTAAGCTCTACCTCTTTTTGTGGGTGTATAGTGAGGCTCTATATAACATGGTCCACTTAAAAGGATATCACTGAGCTAGCATGTGAATTCGGAAGTTTGCTTGGCCCCAGGAAACACAATCACCCTTCTTTTTCACTTTTCTTTATTCCACCTACATTTAACATTGACAATAACAACCCCAATAATGAGTCCTTATATAGCTCTTACTCTGTCCATTTTACAGATGAGAAAACTGAAGTACATGGAGGTTAACTTATCCAAGTCCATAGAGCTAGTAAAGGGCAAAGCTAGCATTTGAAATAGGTATTCCATCTGAAACCAAGCTTCAGTACTGTGCTCTTCCCACGACTTCCGGCTGGCTCTCTATTGGCAGACCCTGGGTTAGGGGTTGCAGAGGTAGACATGAGTTGGATCCACTCCTTGCCCTCCAGGAGATCTCAGTGTAGAGGGACAGACCTGCAAACAGGCAGTTATAGTCCAGTCTTGGAGTTGAATGGGTAAAGGGCATTCCATGCAGAGTAGGAACAAAGGCAGGGGGTATGGACCAGGTTTTATACACAGGATGGGACGATGGCAGCTTAGGGAGCATGTGGGAGAGTGGAGAGAGATGAGGAAGGGGCCAGATCACGGAGCACACTGAAGGCCATGCCAAGCAGCTTGTGCTTCTGACTGAATTTGATCACAGATTGCTGCCATATATAGACCCAGCTTTCCTTGCCTACTCTCTTCAGTCTCAAGTGAACCAGGTCAATCTCTGATGATTCAGTTTTCAGTCATTTCCATTCTGGTCAGGTCTAATCCAACTGTGTTCACAATGTTAAATTTGTTTCTCCAAGGGAAAATTCACAGATGTTAGCTCTGTAAACTTGTAGATAGGATTAAAGTTATTCTCGAATAGCAAAATCATGTTTACAGAGTCACCACTGAAGTTGCGACATGAAACAGAAGGATGGTTCCAGGCTCATGGCAGGTGCTCAATCTTTGCACAATTGTGTGGTCCTCTTCCAATCATGTGAACTTCTCTGCCAATCCCCTGCATATTCTTTTGTGGTTTTGCTACCCTCATTAAAGAAAGCCTTGGAGAAAAGACACCCTAGAGAATAGATGCCACTATTGTGAGCTGCCCTCCTTGGAGATGTAAACTGTGTATACGTGCACAGGGGTGCCATGGACACCAGCTAACATGAATGAGGGCTCTGAGAGATTTGATAGTGGGACCTTTGTTGATGACAGTTTGCATAAGCTCCTGTCCTGAGATCTATTACAGTATGAGCTCTTTGTTTCAGAGACTCCAAACCACGTATTGTTTTCTGAAATTTATCCAGCCCTTCTACAGAACATGTATATACTTACTATGTTGTCCTACTTAACAGCCTATGTAATATTGCTTACTGTTTATTAAATATCTCTTATGGGCTAGGCATTGTGCTAAGTGTTTTATGCTCATTAAACATTGTTTTGAGTATTTACTATGGATTATTTTACTGAATACTCACAGCAATCCTCTGAAGTAGATTCTATTATCATCTCTGGTTTACAGATGAGGAAACTGAGGTTTAGAGAGATGTTGGTACAGGGCTAGCCTAAGGCCCAGTGGCAGAGATGTCCAGGGCCTGTGCTTATAGCCAGTGTACAGTCCTATATGGTCTTTTTTGCTAATTCTTTGCTAAAAACCATCCTGCAAGGAGTTATTCTATCATCATCATCATCATCATCATTATCATCATTATACGCTGATAACA